AATATATATTCAAATATGTGTTTAATTAAAAATAATACTGGAAGATTATATTGTGGTGAGGCTGCATTAAGGCCTTTAATGTGCTGCTAAGGAATTACAATTTACATGGTAAATATAAAGTGGTAATATGATGTCAGTTAGGTGAGAAATGCCTACCAAGGAACAAAAAAGTGAAGCTTGTACGGAACCAAAGTTTCTGGAAACTTTTTGTTCAGTGCCAGAGATAAAAGTAACTATATGACCAGAGTTTTTAGCAAAGAAGCTGGGCCAAAAAAAAAGAAAGTAGAATTTTCCTTAAGACATAAAATATTTTTTATTAAATCCAGAATTTCCAAATAAGGCAATATGGATACTTGACAAAGTGTAAATCTTTGACAGCCAATAATGAGCTTTTCTGTTAGATATCATAGATGGCCCTTTATTTTTAAGATTTTGTCTTTCATTTTTATTGGTTTGATTATTATATGCCTAAGTATTATTTCCTTTTCATTTTTTCTTCTAGGATTCTAAGCTTTTTGGTTTGTGGATTGATATCTTTCATCAATTTTGGAAAATTCTCAGTGATTATCTCTCCAAATACTTTTTTCTGCACCATTGTGTTTTTCTTCATTTAGAACTTTAATTACATGTGTGCTACAATTTATTATTATCCCACAGGTGTTGCATGCTCTAATCTGTGGCTTTTTAAAAAATTCTTATTGCCTTTGTGCTTCAGTTGGGACATTTCTGTTGACCTGTCCTCTTTCTACTATGCCCATTTCTACTGTAAAACCCATTGAATACATTTTTTTATTTTGAATATTTTTTCTGTTCTAAAACATTTTTAAGTTCTCTTCTCTCCTGAAATTTTCCACCATTTCATTGATTATTTCCATGTTTTCCTTTATCCTAATTGTAAAGATTGTTTAGTGTCTTTCTCTATTAATTCTATATCTCAGTCACCTGTGGTTCAGTTTCCATTGACTGCTTCATTTTGTTTATGCATGATTGTTTCCTGCTTTTATGGATGTCTCATAGTTGTGTGTTGTATGCCATACATTGTGTATAAATGAGTTGTAAAGACTGAAGTACAAAATATTCCTTCTGCCCGTCCTCCCCCCTGCAAAAAAACCCACCTACCTTTGTCAGGCCACTAAGGTGAGAGGCTGATCTCTCTAATTAGAATTAAGCTAAATTGGGGTTAGGTTGTAGCTTTAATTAGTTTTAATTCACCACTGATTTCAAACGTTTTGAGGTGTAAAAGATTCCTCTTTTCAGCTGAGCTTGGTATCCAGTCACCATGTTAACTGAGATGCTGCTCTGCTCTCCAGCCCTGCCTCAAGATTCCTGTGCCCCTGGAGATCTCTCTGACACCCAGGCCTGACTTAATTGCTCACATGCTGCTGAGCACTGGATAAAAGTCCTGAGGTTGAGAATTGATAAATAGTAAAGGTTTTCTCTGGGTCTGGGGCTTACATGTATTCAGTATCTCACATTAGCCCAAGGTCGTTAGAAGTTCAACTAGTTTTCACTGGCAAAGTCTCCCACCCATTAACAATTCTGTTCCTTCACTAGTTACTTGGGATTCAAAGCTGTTTAGAGCTGTCCTACAGCTTATCCCTTTCAGAGATTTAGTTTCTCCTAAATTTCCTGTGTCCTAAACTCCCCAATCAATTAACAAATATACATATTAAAAAAAAAAATTTACTGGTGTTTTTTCCTATGTTATGGTGAATTCATGACCAAGTCCACTATACTCAGAGCAGAATGTTGAAGGCCTTCTGTTTTTGACATCGCTTTATCAACTTTTTTCTGATTATACAAACAATAATCATCATAAAAAATTTCAGAAAAATCCAGAAAATTGAAGAATACTTCATCCAAGATGCTTTTTTATTTTGTAAGACTACCCTAATCCTCTTTGACTCGCTTCAGTTTAAAAGTATTTGGTGTCTAAGTGGGGGAAAAAAATGCCCTCTCTTTCAATCCTCCATGCAAAATTCAGCCTTCAAAATTCTTGTTTGCTTCTTGGATTCTTCCTGTAGTCCACTGTCCTTTCACATACACCTGCTATGACATGGAAGATTGATGAATCACCCTTATGCTATGCAGTGAAATGCAGCTCTGCAGTGTCACTTCCTTCAGAAAGAATGCTTTTCGTGGCGCTCAGTAAAGATACTGTGAGAACATGATGACCTCCAACCATCAGGACTCTCATGAGGAGATGGCATTGATAGTTGTCTGGAGACCCAATACATTTATTTCTCGTAATATATAGTATTCAATTACAAAACTACTGAAAAATATGCATGGAAAGGTTACATCATAGGATAGCTCTGGAAATATTCAGGTGTGCAGAAAGGGTCCCCTGAGAGGTACGATGAAACTTACGATCCTTTCTTGCCAGAGAGAAAAGGAATGAGTCCCAAGCTACACATTACAGGGAAAAAGATATCTCCTGTGATATGCAGCTGGGAAAGGTACTAAAAAAAATAAGAAAGGTAAGACAACTCTTGTCAGATAAAGTTTTTTATTTGAGAACATACGGCTCTTATCCTCCCACTTTTCAATCAATATCAATGACTAGTCTTATTTATATACTTATATATATATGGGGGCTGTCAGGCTAGTTGTATGTGACCCCTCTATCTTGGTTAAGTGAAGTTGCTTTTGTGCATGAGCACGGGCTTTTTAAAAAATATATATCTTTATTGATTTCAGAGAGGAAGGGAGCAGGAGAGAGAGAGAAACATCAATGATGAGAGAGTCATTGATTGGCTGCCTCCTGTATGCTCCTGAGTGGGGATCGATCTGTAATCCGGGCATGTGCCCTGACCAGGAATCGAACCCTGATCACCTGGATCCTAGGTCGACATTCAACCACTGAGCCACACCCGGTCAGGCGAGCACTGGCTTCTTTTTCACATTGTTACAGGTGACACACTGCAGTGTGGTGTTACTAGGCTTTGTCATGCACAAAATGATACTGGTGTTTTCCATGTTTGTAGATGAGCTTAAACCATAATAGATTCTTTTCTTCTTTATTAAAATAAACTATAATCTAAGTTACCTTAGAAATAGTTGGGATAAAGTCTTAAAATAAGTAATGGTTATATGCATTTCCTATTTTATGAACATTTTTATATTTATTATCCAAGTTGATAATTCATCAACTCTGTGAGAAAGATGCTTATCTCCGAGTTTTTTATCGATGCAGAAACTTGAATGCGTGGAAACTGAGATACAAAAAGAAAAGCGACTTGCCCAGAATCATAACAAAATTAATGAGAGAGCTGGGTCAGTACTGGTCAAATTCTTATTTCATCTATTTTATTTAGTGAACATATCCACTAAGATAAGGTTAGTATAAAAGGGACATTAGTTTTCATTTCTAAAAGTAGGGATAAAAAGAAGGATCCCTTACCCTTTGACACAGCATGGGGGGACCTGGAGAGCATTATGCTAAGTGATACATGCCAGTCAGAGAAAGACAAGTATCACATGATCTTACTTATATGTGGAATCTAATGAACACAATAAACTGATGAACAAAACATCCCGAGACATAGAAGCATGGAACGGACTGAGGGATCTCAGAGGGAAGACGGGGGTGGGAAGGGATTAACCAAAGAACTTATCGCATATAAGCATAGCCCATGGACACAGGCAACACTGCAGTGAAGGCCTGGGGAGG